CAGCTTATGTCAACAGGCGCCCCAGACCTTGACTTTTAAGTCCGGACTCTTCCAGCAAGCAAGGCATCTATCACCTAGATGGATGGCCACTAAAACATGTCCCTTGACAGCCAGCCTCCTGCTGGTCCTGGGCCACCAACTGGCTCCTCACCAGGGCCCAGGCTTCAGGGTCACCTGTCCTGGACTCACCTTTACAAGAGGTGACCTTTCTAATACATGAACCTGTCACCCGGCCCTCAGAGGCCTTGGGCCTCCCATTGCTAACAGCAAGGTCCTCAGTGCTCCTGCATGTGACCTGCTGGTTGCCTGCCAGCCCTGACCACACTCCAGGTTCACATTCTCCCCTCCCTCGGCTAGCGACTGTCTCCCCAAGTCTGAGTCTACCTGGGGAGGGTGGGGGAACACCTGAAGGTGGCCCCCAAGCTCCCCTCCCTGGGGCTGCAGCTGCCTGTGCGTCACCCTGCCCCCCACCCCCAGCACCTACATCCTCCAGTCAACCGGGGCTCCAGAGGGCTCCGGGCGGAGACGGGGGCATGGCAGGGTGGGGTGCGCAGGCTGGGCCTCGGTGTCCCACAGACCTGGGCTTGACTCTGGCTCTGCCACCCACCAGCCTGGTGGGGTCTCAGTGCCTGGTGCCTCAGAGTCCCTGGCTTTAAAGTGGAGCTAAAAACACGCAGCCACGGGGTTTTGTGAAGGTTAAACGAGACGATTATCATACAACCTGGACGTGTGTACTGGGCGTCTGCACGTCCTTGTCCCGAGCCAGCCCAGCCTAACCTGGGCATGCTGACCGAGTGGTGGTCGCTCAGACAAATCCTACTGGACAGAGAGCTTGGGCGCCATAAGCGACTGGCGGAGGCTCCGGTTGCTGCGTTTTATCACTAAGTCCTCATCGGGTCGATTGTCACTGAGCCGTCAGAGCCTGGTCACCCAGAGCCTGAACAATCTGGGCCGCCTTCTCCAGGGAGGGCGCTGCCCCCTGGAAACAGAATCTCAGGACATCCTGTGGGGCCACTTTCCCAAGGACAGTCACTGGCCTGTCCAAAGCCCAGGTTGAAACCCAACCACCCAGACAAACATGCCTCCTCCCCGCGGGGCTGGGCCACAACAAGTGCCTTATGTCACTGGGAACCACAGGCCGGGCTGGAGCGGTGCTGCTCCAAGTGGAGGTGACCTCATTTCCTTCAGCTACAGGCTCATGGTGAGAGGGGGGATGCTGACCCGCTGTGGTCACCAAACCACCCGAGAGGGCCAGCCACCCAGAAAGGGGGTAAAGGGTCACCCCCAGCTCTTCCCAAACCTGCAGGCCTCCCTGGGGCTCAGAGAAGCCTCATGAACCTGAGGCCCCAAAGGGCTGGTGGCTATCCCCCGGCTGTGCCCAAGCCCTCGGTCAATGGAGGCAAGTCCTGCAGCGTGGCAGAGGCAGCAGGAAGGCAACTGGCATGTTCACGGTGGCACCTCCGCACAGCCCTGTCCCCTCCCCCAGCTCTTTCCTCGCCCGGCTGCGATGCTGAAGACGGACGTGTGTCTATCTCAGGGCTGGTCGCGAGGCCAACCCCCTCTAGGTGGACCCTGGTGTTCTCCTGCCCCCTCGACCCTTTCTTCCTCTCCAGGGCCACCAAGAGGAAGTCGTGGAGCAGGGAGGACGGCGGGGACACACTGTGCTCTGCAGAAGCAGGCTGCCCCGCCCTTAGTAAACGGCACGGGCTGCCTGGGCTTGCCTGCGGGCCTGACGGGGCAGCGAGTGGCAGGGGCAGGCGCACACAGGTGGCCCGCCCGCGCCAGCTCAGGCTCTGACGTCAAGCTCCTGGTCTGCGGCCCACTGCCCAGTGCCTGCCTCACCACTGCTGGGCTGAGTAACGCCACCATCAAGTCGTCCGTCAGAGGCCAGAGAGGGAGGAGGGTGAGGAAAGGGACCCGCCCAGGGCCCGGGTTACACACCCTGGGCACAGCAGCCCTGAAGCCCACCAGTGCTAGATGGGCGCAAGCGGTGCTGGGGCCACGAGAGGAGGTGCGGGTCAGCCCAGCCACCAGGCCAGGTGGAGAGCCCAGGTCTAGCCTCAGAGCACCACCTCCCTGCAGCCCTTGTCCACCACGCAGACCCTGCTCGGGGCTTCTCTTCCGCTCAGTGGTCACTGATATGCAGCCGACCCCCAATCGCGGGTCCCATGTCCACAGATTCAGCCCACCCTGGACTGGGAAATGGGGGGCTGGGGACGCCACCTGCCCAGCACCAGAGGCCCTGGGTTCACTCCAGCTCCAGGTCGTCAGGGGGGAAGACTTGGTTCCTGGGTCTCCCTGTACCATACGGTGTGACAACCACTCACAGCGGGGACACTGTATGGGCAGCAGGAGGCACTGGGTTCCAAGCATAGGTGACGCCCTGTGACGGCAGGAACGCCAGCATCTCAGATGCTGTTATGTTTGGGGATCCTGGTCGACCCCCAGGGACAGTGTTGTCTGTCTGCTGACGGCCTGGGTCCAAGGCCCACTTGGGCTCTTCTGAGAATGGACACAGGGGCCGAGAGGCTGGCCCAGCGAGGCGGGGGCCTATGGTCAGCCATGAGCCCGGCAGCATGGAAGCCACCCTGCCTGAGGGCCTGGGCCTGGGCCTGGCCACCGCCCTGCAGGACAGCTCCTGCCTCCCTCAGATATCGCAGGTCTGCAGAGAAGCCCCACCCCAGGGAGCAGGTGAGCCCAGAGCCTGGCACTGCCAGCTGGTATACAGCAGGTGCTTCACAGTGCAGCTAGTCTCCACCTCTTGCTTCCACCTCTTAATTCCTAAAAGCAGCCCCTGAGATCCCAGCAGCCCAAATGCTAAAGAGGGGAGCCTGCTGGCCTCGGAGAAGGCTGTTGACGCCCCCAATGGGGGACAGGCTGCAGTGGGGGAAACGTCCTTTCCTGACCCCTGTTCTCCCTGGAGGGTCACGGCTTAGAAAGCAAGGCCTCTCCCAGAATCAGGGGGGAGTTTGCCCTCACTCAGTCAGCAATACCAAGACTCAGAGAGGTTCAGCAGCTTGCTCAGGGTCACACAGTAATGCAGCGACTGCACAGACCCAGTACTGGGTCCCCCCACCAGTCTATGAGATCCCTGGGCTTTGGTGCCAAAAAGTTTAAGAACAGAATCAGAGTGACAGCAAGGCAAGCTGCCTCACCCCAGGAGAAGGTGGGAGGCTAGGGGGAGGCCCTACAGGTGCCTCGGTGGCCTGGAGACACCGCCCAACCGCGTGGCTGTGGTAAGTCCCTCCACTTCTCTGACCCTCCGCTTCCTCTGTAGTGAGAGCGTGTCTGCCTCCTGGGGCTGAGGGTCACCAGGTAGTGATGCTATCTGCCATCCAGGGCCACCTAGGCTAGGCAGCTGGGTTTCTACCCTCCATTGTTCTTGAGAGGAAGGCCAAGGAGACAAGAAATTCCATCAAGGGAACAAGAACATTCCAGGCTGACTGGGGGGGGAGGGGGCAGCTCTCTGGTGTAAACACAGGAACAGTGCTTTGAAGTCTGAAGTCAGTGCCAACAGCCGGAAAGTGCTGGTCTCCTCCCCAGGGACACTGTGAGGGGGTGGCCGGCTCCACACACCCTGCAGGCTGGGGGCAAGGGGACAGCGGGTCATTCTAGGAATCAGATGGACGGCTGGGTCATGGCTGCCAGGAAGCCCACGCGGACCCCGCCCTGTGTGGGCCTGGGGAGCAGTGGGGGAGCCTGAAGTCAGCGATCCCCCCAGGAAGCTGCCCCATCCTCCCAACAATTCCAGCTACAGCAGCAAATGACCCCGAGGTGACTCAGAGGGACAGAGGCCCCGGCCAACCAGGAGTGCAGAGCTGAGCAGGTCCATTCATTCATCCGTGGACCCAGGAGCCCCGCAGGACGCACGGAAAGCCATCCTTTCATGTGGACCAAGCTCTGCTCACTTGTGCTCTCAGTTCAAAGGCACTGTATGAAACAGAGCGGTGGGCGGACGGACAGACGGACGGACGGCAGGGGCCTGGAAACTGACGCTGAGAGAGCAGGGAGGTTTCTGTCCCCCGGGGGCTCAGAATGACTTACACTTCTGTCGTGATGAAGCCGGTGAGTTCCGAGAGGAAGAGGAAGAGGATGAAGAGGCAGCAGCAGATGGAAACTGCAAGAACAGAGCGGGATGGTCAGGGTGGAGGCTCCAGAGAGGAGGCCGCCCCTCAGCCCTCCTCGGAGGCTGTGGACACCATGGGGGAGGTTCCCTCACTCCTTCCAAAGGCCCTTCTCCCCACGGCCTCAATGAAGCAGCCCCACCCCAAGAACAGAAGTCTGTGGTGGAGACTGAGCCGACTCTGGGGTCAGGGTGGTCTCTAATATCAAGGCCAGCCTCCAACACAGGTTGCACACGGGCGGCCCACACAGGTGTTCTTCTGTTGGGCTTGAGTGACATGCGCTGGACAAGGTGGAGTCCGCATGGGGGAGATTTCATGTTGAAATTGAAACTTCTGCCTTCTGCAGAACACCCAGCCCTGTCCCACGGGGGTCTGACAGGGGTTGACCCTGGACCCCCACATTCCCTCTGCCTCCTCGACCCCAAGGCTGAGGCAGAGGGAGGTGACACCCAGCCCGTCTCCATGAGAGGCACCTTCCGCTCCACCTTGGGATGGCGAGGTGGGTCCCTCCCTCTGGAATCGCTCTGTCAGGAAGCCCTGTCTTCTCTAGTCCACACATCAGAGTCACTTGCAGGCCACTTCTAAACTCTCTGGGTCCTAGACTGATGCTGTTGTCACTTCCGCTCCAGCTTTGGCCTCGGGTGGTCCTGGTTCGGAGCACAAACCCCAGGCCAGGGCGTACTGCCCACTCTCACTGGAATCGGGCTTCTCTCGGGAGTCCTGTCCCTTTTATTAGCGTGGCCTTCAGAGACCCCACTCCAGGTGCGTTTGAGGCTTTTATTAAATGGATAAAAATCCACCGTGTGTCTTGGGCACCTCCACTCGGGGCCTGGGCACAAGGCCTTCACTGCACCGTTTGGCTGGCACATCCGGGGGCTGCTCACACCACAGAAGACATCTTGGAGCATTTGGGGTTTCAGATTAGGGCTCCTCAATGACGTGGGAGAGTCCCCGGGCACCCTCTAGAACAGACCCCGCCTGGCCCCGCAGGGCAGGGCGGAGAGGCCCGTGGGAGTCGGGGAGGGCACCCCCTCCTCTCAGTTCTGCACAGAGGGGGCGGGCGCAGGGGGTGGGGGGCATGCAGAGTGGGGACAGGGGTCGGAGGGGCTACTCACTGATGGCCCCGGTGTAGGTGGGCTGTGTGAGGTCCTTGGGCACCTTCCTGTAGATGTCAAACCTATGGGAGGAACAGCAGCATGAGGGCAGAGCGGGGGCAAGGGCGGGCAGGTGCCAGGCACGGTGGGCAGTGAGCCGCGGTCTTCCACACCAGGGCCACCTCTTCCAAGCAGCCTCACTCTGCGTCATCCATGAGGGTGCCCCTCACGGTACCTGGCACCTCCATCCTGACACTTGTTGCCCAAGGCCCCCCCTCGAGTGACCTTGTGGGCTCGCTGGGTTGGTCGGCCCTTCCAGGTGGGTCTCCCTGCATCAGAGTGTAACCTCCCTAGGGACAGGGACCTTGTTGGTGTGTCCCTGCCATATCCCCAAGCCTTGGCACATAGCAGCCCTGCAGAGGTAACTGCGGAGTGACTCAGGTGACCCTAGAGGAAACAGGGCCGTCATCTTCCCTTTCCTGCCCTCCCCTCCTGTCTCCACTCTCCCCTGGAGCCCTGGCCAGCGCCTGCTCCACGTGCACGAGGTGAATGTGCGTCCGCCTGCAGCCCAGGGCCTGGCACCAGCTGGTGGTGGCTGTCTCCTCTGGTTCCTCCCAGAAGCACCGCTGCCCTTCAACACCAGGGTCCCACCAGAGCTCAGGGAAGTCATGGGGTGGTAGGAAAACCCAGGGTTTGGAATCAGGTGACATGGATTTAATGCCGGCTGTTTCACCCCACGTCCCACCCCGGCTATGAGAGCTGAAGCCTGGGAATCATATGGCTCCAATCTCCCCAGTCCTCTTCCTTACTGTGTGACTGTAGGCAAAAGGCTGTCCCTCTCTGATCTCAGCATTCCTCCTCTTTGAGATGGGCCTCCTACTCCTGCGAGGACTGAGCGTGGGGAGGCTCCACGCCAGGCCTCCTTCCCTTCCCTGAGGCACAGAGGTAGTTTTCTGCCCCACACAGGTCATGGCCTGCCCTCCTGCGCCAGGCTCTGGGGGTAGGGCCTGACTGGTGGAGAGGCTGAGGACCAGGGGGCTTGGCTGCTCTCTGGTGACCGGGAAACAAAGGCATCTTGCTAAAGCCAAGGCTTGGGCTGGTTGGACGTCTTGCCTAAGGGCCGGTCCCTGGCTCTGCCTGCTACACTAAGACCTCAGGGGAGAAGGACTGCTGTGTGCAGCCAGGTTCAAAGGGCAGCGCTTTCTCTGCTGCCTGATTGGCAATGGAGACGAGGGCTGGGGGAGAGGGTCCCTGTGACTTTCCCTCTTTGAAAAGGTGGGCCCTGAGCTTGGAAGCCACGTCAGAGGTCCAGAGTCTGACTGTGGAGTCAGACTGCTCAACTGTGACTGCATCCCTGCGTGACCTTGGGACCGTTGCTTGACCTCTCTGTGCCCTGGTTGCTTTGGTAGTGGGGGCAACGACAGCAACTACCCCACAGAGCAGGAGTAAGGGTCAAATGCCTGAGTACATAAAAAGCACCCAGAAGCGGGAGGGCTGGGGGGTGGGGTATCTCTCTATCCTGGGGTCAGCCCCTGAGGCCCTTGTGAAACTTCCCGCAGGGGCTGGTGTCTGAAGGGGTTGCAGCTGGTTCAGCTGGGATGCCAAGCCCTGGAGGAAGTGCCCTTGAACCTGACCTTCCCCAGGCTGGCCATGTGTGTGCAGAACCCGCTCAGCCTGGGATCTCACGCTAAAGGACATCAACTCAGTAAACTCCACAAGACCCTCAAGGCCCTGTCACAGCGCGGGCTCCGTGTGTCTGTTGGGCCCAGAGTGGGCCGGCCTGAGGCTCCGAGCATGCGCAAGGTCGGCCGGTGGCGCTGGGACAGGGACATCCCAGGTGCAGACACTGACCTGTCTTCAACTGGGGATGGGTTTACTGGACGACACTCACCCTCAGTCAGCGGCACCCTGAGAGCAGTCGGCGTGGGTGGCCAGGATCAGGGTGGCCAGGACTTCAGATTTTTAAAGAGAAGCCAAACATTTGGAATTTTACGTGGAGTTTCCCAGTTCTCGTGGGGCAGTCACGAAGGGGCCATGGTCAGAGGAGGCCCAGGGCCCACCCGTGGCTCTCTGGGTGATAAGCCCTGCAAAGCTGGGGGGGACACCGATGGCCACAGGCCTGGAGAGGCCACTCGGGGCCAGGTGAGAGGCACGTGCCTTCTCCAAAGGAGACCAGAGAGCCAGCAGCAGAGTGACATGGGGGACAGCAGTGGGAAGGTCCTTTCTCGCTGTCCCCCTTGGTCTTGAACGAACGGCTTCACTCTGATCATGAGGAAAGTCCAAACTGAGCCGAGCAGACGGGTCAGCTCACCCTGAAGGGGACCCTGGCTCGGCAAACGGACAACCTCTGCGCGAGCTCAGGAGGGGACTCTGAGCTCGTTCTGTAATTTGGGAGTGGTCTGAAATCGTTTCAAGAGGAAAACTTAGACAGCTTTCAAAATCCAGGGGAATTATTTTGGGAGTTGAAGGGGGTGTCCAGATCCCCCCCCCCCAGCAGGTGTCTGCCCCCAGGGCTGGGCGTCAGGGCCTTGTGTCTGCTGGGGGCAGCAAAGGGCAGGAGAATGGGTGAACAGAGCCACAGGGAGGAAGACGAGGACACAGACAGCAGGTGACCTGGGGCGGGAAGTGCTCCAGAGAGGAGGAGGCCCTGAGTCACGATCCCCTCTGCCCGGCTGGGCACCTGGACAGACATATTTGCATCTAATTCCCACAATGACCCTGGCAGATCCTGGCATCCCACTTTTTCCAGAGGGAAAAAACTGAGGCTCAGGTGGAGGCAACATGCTCGGGTCACTGATCCAGGGAATAGCGAGCTGGGATTCACACCCCAATCTCCGTCCCAGCCCCTCCTTCCACCGCTCAGGGGAAGGAGTTTAGAGCTCGCCTGCTGGTCAACAGCACCCAAGTCTCCAGGTGGCAGGGTTTGCTTCTCCAAGCCTGAGCCCTGGAGCAGCGGGAACCTCTGGAGGACAGGCCCGGGGTGACACACAGGCTTTCATGGACTCAACAGGTGTTTACAGACCTCTACCCCATCACGGGAAGGCCCCTCCCTCATGTAGCTGCCATCTGACAAAGCTTTTGGCTCCTGGGAGGGACCACCTGGACACAACGAGCGTGGACAATGACTCCTTTCCCACGCTAGAGCCAAGCTGGAGGCTGGTGGGGCAGAGAAGGAAGAGCTGAAAAGGATCCTGATTTCAGAGCTGACCACAAGCCAAGTGAGTCAGCGGTGAAGGTCACTGAAATTGGGCCACCAGGAGGCTGGTGAGAACCCAGGCATGTGATGGATCAGGAAGTGAGCCGTCCATCCTCCTCGCTCACATTAGTCAGCCCCTCACTGCGGTGATGTGATCAGCTGTGGCCACCACACCGTCAAGAGAATGGGGCGGAGAGGGGAAAGAGAATGAGGAGGGAAGAGGGATGCTTGGTGTGGACCTACTGTGTGCTAGGGTCATGCTATGCCCTTGAGTGGCATGTTCTCATACAGTTCTCTTGAGGGACTTGCAAGTTAGAGACCGTTGTCCCACTGTGCAGATGAGGCTGAGAGGCCCTGGCCTTGGTGCCTGCCACCATCAGCTGAGGTCACGGTTCCACCAGTTCACTGTGTAGACCAACAATAAAAGCCTCAGGAAGACCGACTCGACAGTCGGGGGGTCTCGAGCAGAGCTGGGCACAGGGCACACTGCAGCCCCAGCTCAGGAGGCCGGAAGGTCCCTGCGCCCAGGAGCTGGGCAACACAGCGAGACCCACCTCATTTTTTTTTTTTTTTAAAAAGGATTTAAAACAAAACAAGCCAATGAAAAGCTATGAACCCCTGGGCCTCTCGTGTCCTTGAAAAGTCCTGTGCCAGAGTCTCAATCAGGAGTCACTGTGCCTCCTGGGATGTGGTGACGTCCAGAGACACGCACCATCACGGCTGGGGCTGGGGTGCCATCGGCACGAGTGGGTGGAGGCCAGGGGTCTGCCATACAGACAGGACGCCACAAGGAGGGCCACCAGCTCCAGGGTCCACAGTGCTGGCATGGAGGTAGCCTGCCATGTGCAGGGACACCTGCCCACGGGTCCCCCTGTCCCCAGCTGTCCCCATTCAACCTCAGGGGCCCTGCTGCTCTGCTCCTGCTGGGGGAGTCAAGGCCCCGGCCAGCGTGGCCCCCAGACAGGACCTTGGTGTCAGACGGTCTTCCCTGTCCCTTCTGCTCTGAGCCCAGAGAGAACACTGGGCAAAGGAACACGAGAACCTGAGGAGTCCACCTGGACCTGCCCGTGGCTCAGAATTGGGGTGGCGTGGTGAGCACAAGGTCAGGACCATGCAGAGCGACCGGTGTCCATCTCTGGCTTCACGCCTCAGCCATGGGCACTCACAGCAGCCTGGATGGCGCAGTCAGAGAGAAGATGGAGGCCAGGCGCCCCCGGCCAGCCGGGTGAGGTCAGCTCCCAAATAGCCCAAAGCAAACACGTCTTTCCCAGTGAGAAGCTGGGAACATCCGGCTCCCCCATCCCCTTCCCTCGCTCCCTAGCTCTACGGCTTTAACTCTGACACCAACCCTGAGGGACCTGCAGACGAGTCTTGGCCGGCTCTGTGGCACACTGTGGGTGGCCAGAGGCTGTGAGGTCACCAAGGCTTTAATGGAACGGATATCTCTTAGCAGCAAGTCACTGGAAATGGGGGTCACTCATCCTAAAATAGCCATCGAGGCTCCCAGCGGGCACTCGCCCTAGTCAGCCCTGCCCACCAGCCCAGGGCGTGGGCAGGAGGCACGCGTGCTCTGTCCCGGCACCCTGCTGACCACCACCAGCACAGGACAGTGTTAAGCGTGTGCACTCGCCTGCGAGCTGGGCACGGGGTGTGGGGGCAAGGCCTCTGCCAGGAGGGGCAGGCCCAGAGAGAGCCCTGGGATTCTTCTGACCTTGACCTTCAAGCTGCTGATATGCGCTCATACCACCCAGCGCTCTGTCAGCTGGGCTCTGTCGCTGGAACCCTCTGTCTGTCCCCCAGGTGCAGGAGCCTTGACAGAGAAGGAAGGATGGTAGGGGACCCCACGTGAGGCTGCCCTGCACCTGGCCTGAACTCAGCCTTCAGGTCCATTACCCCACAGCCTTGTGAAGCCCTGTGTGGCAGACAGCATCGCTGGCCCCATTTACCTGCCCAGGGGCAGGGCTGAGCCTGACCCCTGATGTCGTGCCACCCCAGGGGAGTGGGGCTGGGAGGTGGGGGAGTAGGGGCTGGGCTCACGGGAGGTCTGGGAGAAGCCCGAGGTCTGGGAGAAGCCCGGGCACACAGCTGCCCGACGCCCATGCACCAGTGCACACCTAGCGCCCCCACGGTGGTCCCCCGCCCCGCAGCCATGCTTCTGCCCTGTCACCCCACAAGTGACCACAGACCACGAGTCCTGGCTGATCCCTCCTGCTGCCCCGACAAGAGTCGGCTGGAGAGGAGGAGCGGAGCTGCTGCTGCTCTCTCCCAGGGCCGGCCACCGCTCGGCAGCCCGAGAGGCCTCCCTGACCCCATGCTCTGCACACAGGCTCCTGGCCCAGGCCTCAGAGAGCTGCAGGTCTTCCGTTCTGACTGGGCAGGGCCCAGGTAGATCTGTCCTGCGTCACCTGCAGGGCTGACACCCGGCAAATGCCAGGTGAAAGTGTAAGGTGACGTCCACACAAGGCCCTGTCCACAGCACCAGCCCTAACAGTATAGGCTAGAGAGTGGCCACCCGCGGAGGTGCAGGGGCAAGGGCACAAAGCCATACGTGAAAGGCACGGCCAGCGAGCCAGGAAGCCTGCACACTCTGACCCGGGCTCTGCGGGGACAGCACCACGGAGGGGGCGGGCCTGACCACTGACCTACGTATGTGTTTGGGGGTGGGGGAGGGGGAAAAAAGAAGGCGAAACTGAAGGTTTCATACAGAAGGTCACACAAGGGTCACAAAAGTGTCAACTACTCAGGGGTGAATGTGACAGAAGTGCAGAAAACACTATCGAGGAGGCAGAGGGAGAAGGGAGGGAGACGCGGACCCGCCGAGGGGCCAGGAGTGCAGTACTGGCCACGTGGCATCCCCCACTGGCCACATGTGCGACTCAATCCCAGCCTCCATTCACCTCCTCAGCCTTCAGCCTGCGCCCACAGGTCAGCAGAGAGAGGAGAAAAGGCACCGGCATTTCCCAGGCTCCTGCTCCATGGCCAAGCCCCACTTAAGCAGCTGACCACTGGATCCCACAGAGGCCTCCCCTACCCAGGACGCCTCAAACGCGAAAGCTCAGAGAGGGAGAGCAACATGCCCAGGTGCACACAGCGAGGAAGAGGCCATCGGGGTTGGAGGCCTGGTCAGGGACCAAGGGGCTACACAGAGATGCTCCCTGGCCTCCTGACACACGCCCCCCCAGGCCTTGGCTGTCCAGGGTCAGAGCTGCTTCCTGGTACCAACAGCAAGCCGAGAGCCCTCGCTGAGGGAGCGGAGGGGAAAGGGGGTGCACAAGGCAAGCACAGCTGGAGGGGCCCACCCCACCCGCATCGGGCATCGGTCTCCCTCTACATTCCAGAGCTGTGCGCAGGAGGAAGCCGGCCTTGGCTGAGTCAGGCTTCCCACCTGCCAAGGACACAGGCAGCCCTGCGGGGTGACTGGTCCCCAAAGCGTTTCCAACTCACTGGAAACTGGAAACAGCTGGCAACACACCTCCAGAGCAGGACAACATCCCCTGTGCAGATGCTATAAATGGAAATGCATCTCAGAGGGGCGGGGCAGGGGCGGTGCTTGTCACAGTGACCCATCATTGTCATCGTCATGGGATAAAAATACAGCAGGCCCCAAACGCGCCAGCAGCCCGGGCTGGGAGCTATTCAGGGCCTGGACTCCCTGCCAGGCTGGCCCTGCACGGAGGTAGGAAAGGAATGTGCTGGTGGCCTTGGGAGTATTTAAGTTTAGGAGCAAATCAGGGGAAGCAGCCAGTCCCTATGGAGGGCATCCCGAGGGACGCCCCCTTCCCTGCCCTTCGCCCCACCTACCCTTGGGGTTCCATCTGCTCGCAGCTCTGAGGGCACCTTTGACAATGTTCCCAGTGGCCTTGGGGGCAGTCACAGCCAAGTCCTGCCCACAAGCAGAGGGTGAGAGGAAGGTATTAGGAGGGGAAGGAGCTTCACCACTCCACTGGTCTCAGATGATCAGCACCATCCAGGTGCAAGAACTAGTCCAGCCCTATTTTTCACAGAAAAAGAAAACAGATTCAGAAAGACCTGGAAAGGCAAGTGGGAAATGCAGAGGAAGGAGGAGCAGCTTCCAGAGGCTCCCACAGAGGTTCACGTCCAGAGCCGGAGAGCAGCGGACACGCCCCCTCCCTAAAGGGGCCAGAGATGGGAAGGAGTTAGGAAGCAACAGAGAGCAGGCCCAGGGCCAGCGAGGCTTTCCTTACAATCCCTAGCAGAGGGCAGGAGAAGGGGACTTGAGTGTCCTCTGGCTGGCCTGGCCGAAGGGGCAATTGGTAATCATTTTCATGATCACGAGTTGCCAGTTTTAGGGGGGCTGTTTGAGGTGGGCTGTGGGGGTGCTAGCGAAGGCTAATCTGGCAAGGAGGCATATAAATGAAGATCTGAATTAGGGAGATAGCATCCATAATGGCCCTGGGGCAGGGAGCACCAGGCAGGAGGGTCAGCAGGGGCAGGGAGCAGAGGCCCTGAGGTCTTACATGAAGTCACCCATTTAAAAATAGTACTGACCAGTTTAAAAAAAAAAAAAAAAACTATGCAAAGCAAACATCCCGCATTTGGCCTGGAGGTGATCAGATCGGCACTTGGCCTTGAATCTTGAACTTACAGAGTGGAACTGAAAGGAGCCAAAGGGCAAAGACACTGGAGAGCTGCAGAGCTGGAGGGGTGCTGGGACCAGACCCTCCCCACACACCGTGGCCAACAGGGTTTGTACCAGGGATCCCTGGAGGGGCACCTGCTGCTGCCACGGAGCCTGACTGGGTGTGTGCCAGCTGAGATGTCTGCCCAGGTCACAGGTGTGGGGACAAGAGTCACACGCTTTCTGGGGTCACGGGGCTGCTGTCATCTAGACCCATTTTGAAGACGAGAACCTGGTGCCCAGGGAGCTGCACTGAATCACCCATGTCACAAACAAGGACCAGAGTCATCCTGGGGCTCTCCCCAGGACGTCCAGATGCTCCCGAATCTGCAGGCTTTGGGAGCCCATCTCTACCAGACTCCTCCTGCACTGACCCATCTCTAACCAATAACGCAGAATACGAAAATCGGATTTTGCAGTGACTCACTTTATCCATGGCTGAGAGGCGAACGTGGGGATTTGGCCTGACGAAGCCCTCTGACGATGTGCCTGTGGCACATGCTGTTCAGTGAGAGCCCTGAGCTGCCCTGAGCTGGCCGAGGGCCCTGCTGCCAGCTGAGCCCAGTGCCTGCCTCCCAGCCACCCTCCCTCCCGCTAGGTGTGAGTCACGCCTGGAGACCTCAGTGTGCCGGCTGCAGAGCCTCCACTTTCCTTGGCTCCTGAGCAAGATGTACTTTTCCATAGGACACTGATTCAGCTGAGCCCGGAGTTTGCAATGCCCTGCAGTGGTGAGGCCGGCCTCCCCTGAGTCCAGCCTCCTCTGAGCCCACACTGTCCTGGAGTGGGGACCACAGAGGGAAGCTACTACCTCCCTCGCCTTCTTCCTCCTCCTGCCCAAATGGCAAGAGTGCCCACCTTCTGAGGACCCACCCAAGCCAGCCAGATCCCCAGTGGCCTCCCTGGAGCCCCCAAGGCCATGCACACCTGCAGACAGGAACGGAAAGGAAGGGCCCACGGTGGATGGCCAGGGACCCTCCAGTGTGGAGCCAGGACAGCCTTCCCGTCAACCTGGGGTCCTGGCAGCTCAGCACCAAGCGCCCCGTGGACCACATTTCCATTGGTACAAAGCACTGTGCTTGGGAGCAGCTTCGGGTTCACAGGAACACAGAGCAGACACAAAGTCCGTCCTCCCTGACCCACATGTGCACAGCTCCCGCTGTCCACACACCCTCAGAAGGCACATCTGTCATCCACAGGCGCCAGCCAGGCCACCCATCACACCCAGTGCTTGGTTCTACAGGGCTGAGCGTCCTTGGGCTTGGATGAATGTGCGATGGCATCTGTCCACCAGGGCAGTGCCCAAGAGAGGCCTCTCTCTTAAAACCCACACCCCTGAAGCCCCAACCCCCTTGTACGGCTGGTCTTTTCCTGTCCCCAAGTGGCCTTTCCTACAGCGAGGACACACAGCTCCATGGCTGCTGGGGGTATCTTGGTCTGTATTGTGCACACCAGGTGCCCCTTGCTTCACGGGTTCGGGGCTCCTCCTAGTTGGCACCGGTGACCTCCATGTCTGCAGGTAGCTGCGCAGACTTGTGACTTCTGTAAAGTGGGGGTGAAAATCCTGCCCACCATGGGAGTGCGGCTGAAAGCTGGGCCCTACCTCAGGAGTGGCCAATTCGCTGCACAAAGCAAGCAGTGGTCGGCCATGACTGACCACACCGGTACCGTGGCCATCACCACTGGTGGGCTCACCACGCAGTTCTCCACCAGAGTAGCACAGGGAGGGGACAACCTCTGCTGACCCAGCGGCCAGCCCTCTCCAGGCTCAACCTGTTCACATGCAAAATGGGGGCAGGGAGGCTGCGTCTCTCCTCTGGGGGGGTCAGAGACAGAGCAGATGACTGACTGGCATGCAGGAGCCATGGACATCCGATGGGCACTCTCAGAAGGCCAGGTCCTGGCTGAAAAGTCTGGAGGGGTCCCTGGCCTTTTCTGGGGCCCAGTGGACAGCCACGTGGGTGACATCACAGACGTGCTATGGAAGGAAGAAGTCCCACGCACAGGCCGAGGGACACGCAGAACTAATGCCCGCAGGAGTCAGGAGCCGGCTCACCTCGGTGGCCTCCCGGGGTGCTGAAAACGGGCTGTACCCCCATCCACGCGCGGCCACCGCGCTGCGCGTTTCACGAGCGCTCTGTCATGAGCCACAGTTCAATTTAGAAATTAAAATTAAAAAACTAAAGAGAATCAAGTCATCATCCACGTGTGGGACTCCTCGGCACCACCTGAGGATCATGTGACAGAGACGGTTTCAGGGCTTCTTTCCTTGGATTCCTACTGCCACCTTCCCTGGGTGCAACCCCAAGCAAGTGGCAGGACCCAGGCAGGCATTCAAGAACTCCTGAAACCTGCCCTCCCTGCTGTGTGAGCTGGGCTAAGTGATGTCCCTCTCTGAGCCTGGTGGCCTGGTGTACAAAGTGTGCTCAAGATGAATCGGGAGTGTCCAGCACTGTGCTTAGCAGCTAGTGGCTGCTTTAAAAAGGCGACCTGTTCATAGGATTCTCACTGAAACGCCCCCAGAGTGTCTTGCCAATTGCAGGTTTGGGTGGGTTGAGAAATCTGTCTAGTGGGCTACAACCAGTATTAAAAAAAAAAAAAAGACTAGAGCAAGAAGGAGAACTCAGTCTGCGCTGCTGCCTACAAGAGGCACACAGCCCCATTCTGCTGCGCCACCATGCCACAGCCTAGGGGCACCTAGGAACAATAACACACCCCGTGAGAAGAGCTCCAGGAAGGTCACGGGTGGCACTTCCCCGAGGACGGACAGGCTGTGGAGTTGAGGGCAGAGCAGAGGGGCTGCCTGCAGGGGGCGCCAGACCCGGCCCTGCGGCTCCGGAGGGGCTCCTGGAGGAAAGAGGCTGGATAGGCACCCAGGATGACGGTGGGCTGGTGTCTGTCCCTCAGGGAGGAGGCAGGGGCCACCTTTCCCTTCCCTCGACCAAGTCCAGGACACTCGGTGACGCAGCCTTTTAACACCTACATCCCACTGTGCTGGCTGGACCCCAGCCTCGTGGGCCAGGTAAGTGCTCCAGGAGCCACGCCCAGGCGGGGTGATCACGCTAGTAGTGAAAGGAGGAGAAGACTTCCGCACAGCCTCCAACCAGCGCAGGGCCTTCTAGAACCTTCTTCTCCCCTCGCCAAGTCTCGTGAATCCCGTGGGCTCACGGCGGGTGAGGCTGGCTTTCCACTCCCAGGGAGGAGGACAGTGACCACCTTTTGAAACGCATCCGTCCGAATTTTTAAAAGTGAAGCCATTTAATCAGCCACATGGGCCTGGTGGGTGGTAGAAGTCCATGTGGCCTCGATGGTGGTGACTGCCATTTGGGTAGCACCCTGAGGCCGGGGAAGTTCCTGTCACTGATACCAAGTTGCCAGGGAGATGACTGTTGAAGTGGGGTCTTAGAGCTGAAAGGTGTCCCTGTCACTATACACACACCCAGTTGTGATGCGAACTAATGAGCAGACGAAGACGAGGACTAAAGGCCGTAGCCGTGTGCCCAGGGCACTTCCTCCCTGAAGACTTCCAATCTGGGTTGGCCCAGGGTGTGCAGGTGGCGCCCACAGGTGCAGGTGCGGGTCTGGGGGCTGAGGCCACTCATCCGTGTGGCCCTGACACGATGGCGAAGACCCCGCTACCGTTTTCTCTGCTGTAGTCCTTCCCCTGGGCCAGTGCGAGCTCAGAGAAGCTGGTCTGTACCAACAGCACAGAAGGCTCCCTGCACCCTCCACCTGGCTTTCCGTCACATAACGTGACCAGAGAAACCTCCTCGGAACTCAGAGGTACGCCTTGGCGTGACTCTATCAGCTGAACACACATTTGCATGGGTTTTCCCCTCAGGTTTTCTGGTCTAGAACCTCACACTGCAT